ACGATACAATTTAAATAATAATCAAAACAAATATTATATTTAAATTAATATCTAAACAAGTTGTAAAGTACAGCTCAGTGCATAAAGCATCCCGTATTTTTAATAGAAGCTAACGTAGAGTCCAGTGAAGGGCCGCACCTCAAATGGTGCAATGTGACAGTCTACCCTAATACAAGCAAGTGACTGCTTATATGGCTCAAACCCAAGATAACTTTATCGTTTTTCCAACATTCGCCTTCTTTAATAGAAGCTAACTAGGAAATAATATGATTTTTGTTGAAGAAAATGGAAATAATATGATTTTTGTATTGTGTCTGTCTATACATATACGCAACTGATCACAGAAATCATGGGTGATAATTGATCTGCTACTTCAGCCTTTAGATGAAACCAATTCTCAAGATGTGACGAGTGATGCATGCAGAACCCGAATACATATTTATCTTTAGGCGGAGCCCAGATTTAAAAGTTATTGTGTTCGGTATTTTAATTCTTTTAAATTACTAGATTCTAAATTAAAAATTTGTAAGTATTCAATAGATTTCTTAAGACAAGTTCATGATTTGGATTAAAGTTATTGAGTTCGGCTGAACCCGTAACATGTACACCAGCTCCGCTACTGTATTTATCACGGTATACGTATTAATTCAATATTAGTAGCAAATACTTATATTCTTTTAAGAGCATCAAAATTTTGGTCACAAAAGAAAAAGTTGGAATTGAATTAAGACCATGACTAATCAAGATGATATCAGTAAAATTGCACATGTTTATACTCATGTAATCTTGCTAATTGCATAATCATTACTTAGTTATGACAGACAAAATTGCTGGTGCTAATTAAATGATTGTCTTTCAATTATTCAAAGGCTTTTTCTATCTTTTCATTGCCTACCTAGGATAATACCGACTTCTAGAGGATAAAACACTACCCAACTTAGCTTTATTGTTTCTTTTTTTTTTTTTTCTTTAACGAGAAAATGCAAATCTATTAGATTGGTTTTTTTTAAGGTAATAATGGTGCTCGAATCAGCCTACGCACTTCAACTATTAGACGATCTATTTATTGTTATCCATCAATCGTAGTACCAGGTAATCACTTGTATCTCTATAGCTTTTGCATTCTATTTTATTAACCATTAGGCCAGATTTATGATTTTAGAACTCATAGAAATGTAACCTACACTAAATTTAGATTGGAACATGAAAAGGAAGATAAGTAACATATTAACAATTGAAGTATATTATTATAAATGTTTTATATATATAAATGTTATATTAAGCTTCTTCTTTTTTTTTGAGTTAAATTTAACTTTTACTCTTGAATGAATAGTACAAATAGCAATACTATTTTTTTTTCTTGGAAAATTTTCAGGGAAATCCACAGCCGTTACTTTTCAGGTGCGCACTGGATAACTTATTCTCTATGCAATAGTTCGCAAACCACACAGGAGAGCTACTATTTTATTCTTCACTAACATTATACCATTTGAGAAAAATTTATTACAATAAGATTTAATTCTCATTTATTAGTGGAGAGAATCCTTATTCCATGTTCTTTCATATCTTCCATGCATGGACAAATAATTCCTTTGTCCTTCACTTAGATTTTCACATCTTCAATAAATCTTTATAACATTATTGACCTTCTATTATTGTGGGCCAATAATAGTCAGAAGATAAGTAGGGTTCTTTCATAATTTCACCCTTGCCTTTTGGGACCCCTCCTGAATATTAGAGGACAGAAATTTTCTTACGTGTCCCTAGGAAAATAATTAAATTTTAAAAATTGGACTGCTTCCTAACTCTGCCAAATTTGTAAATTTTTCTTTTTTATGAGGCAATGGTTCAGACTCCAGATTACTGTCTGAAACAATATATTTGGTGGACCCAAAATTACAATATGTTTGACATCAGCTTATTTTGATAATTGTTTTTTCTTAAAAGAGTTTTTTTAAAAACTATTTTTGGTGAGAAGCAATTTGTGTTTGGCTAATTAATTTGAAAAACACTTTTGAGTAGTAATTAGTGTTTGGCCAAGTTTTTAAAAATTACTTCGTGTATTTTTCTCAAAAGTGATTTTCAAAAAAGTGTTTTTGGAGAGAAGTTATTTTTTCCTGCTTATCCTCAAAAACACTTTTTTTCTTCCAAAAAGCTCGGTCAAACACTTCAACTTTGAAAAAAAAGTATACTTTTTTTTTTGGAAAAAATATGCTTCTAGGATTGGAGAAGCTTGGCCAAACAGGCTAATATAGGGGTGTGCATTCGAATCGGTTTATCGATAAATCGAATCGATTATTTGCTATCGGTTTATCGATTTATCGATTTCGATTTCGAAATTTTCCTTATCGATTTCGATTTCGATTTTATCCTCTTCGGTTATCGGTTTATCGATAAACCGATAAGATATACTAAATTTTTTTTTTACCCTTATTCTATAATACTCTTTCCTTTACCCTAAATCCCTAACCCTATTATTTCATCTACCATATATAAGAAATGATCATATTTAAAGCTCAAGGGAATGAAGTTCAAATTAATGAAAAATAGAATTAGCCGTGATGATGTATTTTTATTTTTTTTATACCGTTGGAGTGTTGGTGGCATACATTTGATCCCTTACTTTAGTTTCGTTGCATGTGCTTGTTGACACAATTTTTATGTTATAAACGGTGTTTGTCTTATTTTAGCTTATTTTTGTCCATATTAGTTAGGCGTGTTTATAGCAATATACTTTCCGTGGAATCCCGCAAATTTTCTTATTGGTGTAATCGATAAGCCCCAAAAATCGATAAATCGAAATCGAAAAAATCGAAACCTTATTGAAACGATAACGATAAGCATATGTACAAATCGATAATCGATAAGTAATTATCGATAAGGGTCAAAATCGAATCGATAAATCAAATGTACATCCCTAAGCTAATATATGTCTTGGATATTAACAAGAACCGTGATGGATTTGCAAGTACTCCTTATCTTTAATTGAAGGTCTCGAATTTAAACGTCTAATATAAAGTTGTATTTGTTAAATAACGATATCTTCCCATAAGTAAAATTTTCCTGCGCAAATCAAAATTTATTCGGATCTCAATGCGAAACTCAAAAAAGAAAATGACCATGTCTTGGATTTGTCAACGCTTTCTTCCAAAATTCATTAAACTGGATATAGAAACCTTGCCTACCGAAAAAGACAAGTCATTATATCAACATTGGATATTTCATTCTTTTAAGTAGGCTAATTTTATCAATTTATAGGAGTTAAGAGAGGTTGAGATGCAATTTGTTGGACTTCTTTAAGGGTTGTTCGGTTTGAATACGACTTATGCTGGAATAAGTTATGCTGAGATTATTAGTTATGTTGGTATTAGTTATCCTGGTATTGGTTTTTATCCATTGTTTGATATGTTGTATTAAAAATGACAATTGCATAATTTCTGAGAAGAAGATATAAGTTATTCCGGCACTAATTACCCCACCTCCTACAAGGTATAAGTTATCCCGATACTAATTTTAATCCAGAAATAACTTATACCAGATTTACTAACCAAACAAAGTATTAAGGTAGTATTAAATTTTAATATTAGCACTATATCTACTTGTACCTCATACCAAGCGACCCCTAAAAGTTTTAGAAATTGTGTACTATAACTTTTATAAGTTTCAACATTACTATGTAATTTTTTCCCATATATATAATTCTTCGTGCGCAAAATTACTCGATACTTGCTTTGATGAGACTAACAAGTACCTAGTGAAATAATTAAGGTAGGAACAAGCAAACTCGAACACTATTATTATTAAAAATTTAAAAAAACTAATGAGTATGGTAAAAACGTTAATGAGTATGCAACTATATTTTGTGTGAGCAGCTTTATCTTTATTTCATTAATTATCGCTGACCGTCATCAAGGGTGATGAGATGCCCAAATACTTACTATTTCAAAAATATTTGTCATTCTTTATTTTACACCTCGATTAAATTTTGAACGAATAATTTGTTCAAGTCCACTTTCGCTCTCAAAAAGTACCATTAATTAAGGAGCTGTCTTTTTCATTTTCCAAGTAACTACAAGAAATTCGTTCAGAAATGCTTAAAGAAGTCCTATATGTAAAGTGGAATTTACTCTTTCTCCTTTTGTATACTTGTGAAAATCATTATATTTTTATGCCTACGCTCCTCCCATAACTCCCACCTCCAAAAATTAATGCAAGAAAATATTACAATTAGATCGTTCTATAATAACCATTTTTTATAATAACATTTCATTATAACTGTTAGTTTTTTTTAATACTATATTATAGTATATATTTTCTATAATAATAATTAGGAGTACCTCCGAAAATTAATACAAAATAAAATATTTTTTGTGTTCAAGGCTCTAATATTTTTGTTCATTAATTGGTTCATTTCAAGAACTTGGATGACTACTTGCCACGTGGTCCAACACCTAGCCATTTCTCATCACCTTCATTTAATTCTTTTTCCCTATTTCTTACTCCAGTCTCATGGCCTATTTGGTCAAGCTTTTTTTTTGCCAAAAGTATTTTTTTGGGCAAAAAATTAAGGTGTTTGGCCAAGTTTTAAGGAAAAAAAGTGTTTTTGAGGAGAAGCAGAAGCAGTTTTGGAGAAGCAGAAAAAAGCAGTTTCTCTCCAAAAATACTTTTTTGAAAAGCATTTTTGAGAAAAATACACTTAGAAGCAGTTTTTTAAAGCTTGGCCAAACACTAATTGTTACTCTGAAGCTTTTCAAACTAATTAGCCAAACACAAACTGCTTCTCACCAAATGTACTTTTGAGAAAAGCATTTTTGAAAAAACACTTCTCAAAATAAGCTGATTTTTGCAGATTGGCCAAACGGGCTATCATCTTATCCCTACGCATGTTAGACTTGTTAACTCAAATCGTTACACAACATGTGAAGGGCAAAATCGTCAAAACAGAAAACCCCCTCACAGTACTATATAAAACCCTACATGGTCTCACTCTTTTCAACGTGCATGAAGTTAAGAATCCACATGCAGAGTTGTACTCTTCAAGAGAAAGAGAGAGTGTAACTGAGTTCTAGAGAGAGAAACTAACTCACTGAGTTATAGAGAGAGAAACAAAAACCCTCATGATGGGCAGCTTTTTGTACGTCACCGTCCTACTTCTCGGCGTAATCTCGGCCGTTCATTCCTGCCCGCCGTCTGATCGGGCAGCATTGTTAGCTTTTCGAGCTGCCCTAAATGAGTCATCCTTGGGCATTTTCAACACGTGGCAAGGTTACGATTGTTGCCACGGATGGTACGGGGTGAGTTGTGACCAGTTAACTCACCGAGTCGCTGACATTAACCTTCGAGGCGAATCAGAGGATCCTGTCTTCCAAAAAGCTCACAAAACCGGTTACATGACCGGTACGATCTCTCCGGCGATATGTAAGCTAGAAAGGCTGTCTAGCCTTACTATCGCCGATTGGAAGGGCATTACCGGCCCTATTCCATCATGTGTTACGTCCTTACCATTCCTCCGAATCATTGACCTAATCGGAAACAAGCTCACCGGGCCAATCCCTTCCGAGATAGGTCGATTGAGTCGACTGACCGTGTTAAATGTAGCCGATAACAGTCTTTCTGGTAGGATTCCTCGTTCCTTAACCAACTTATCATCTTTAATGCATTTAGATCTCCGTAACAACCGAATTTTCGGAACCCTACCAACAAATTTCGGAAAATTAAGGATGTTAAGTCGAGCTTTATTGAGTGGAAACCGTTTAATTGGAAAAATTCCATATTCTATTTCCTATATTTATAGACTTTCCGATTTGGATCTTTCTTTAAATAAACTCTCTGGTACAATTCCACCATCTCTAGGTAAAATGCACGTTCTTGCTACATTAAATCTTGATGGTAACAATATTTCTGGTACTATACCACCAACGTTAATTAATTCTCGTATCAATATTTTGAACTTGAGCAAGAATTCAATTGAAGGATATATTCCTGATTCATTTGATGAAAGATCGTATTTTATGGTTATGGATTTATCGTACAATAAATTAAGAGGAAAAATTCCGAAATCGATTTCGTCGGCGACATTTGTCGGTCACTTTGACGTTAGTCACAACCACCTCTGCGGCCAGATTCCGGCAGGTTCTCCGTTCGACCACCTTGAAGCTTCGAGTTTTACTTATAATGATTGTCTTTGTGGGAAGCCTCTTAAACCTTGTCAAATGTAATTCCTAGTATTAGGTACATTTTTAAAAATAATTTTTTATTTTGTTTTTTGAGATTTTTAACACTTTATATATGGTGAATATGCTTGTATTGTGTAACAGTAAAGAGTAAAAGAGTGTTTGGTAGGTATGTAAGTTTAAATATATTATTATTGTGCTTTGGGATATGGAAATTTTATTTTAAGAGTACTATTTATTATTCAAAAGTCAATAAAGTGAACTTTTACATGAAAAAAAAGTAGCCTAGTGCATAAAGTATCTTGCATTCACACAAGGTTCGGGAAAGAGTTGCACCCCTAGGGATATGATGTAGACGGCTTATCATAATGTAAGTATTAGTGGCTACTTCTGTTTACCCTCAAAATCAGGTAACAATTGAATTTGTAAGTAATTTTAAGGATGTGTGGATTAAATTGACACAAAGTAATAAATTGAAGATACAATTAAAATAAGCAATGAAAAAGTGGATCCAAACCGCACAACTTGAGCCGTTATAGCCTTGGCAAGTCAGTCGCACTTGAACTAAATGCAATTCAAACGATATCAAGATACAGAGGAACGGTAGCTTACAGAAAGAAAATAACATTATATTGCTTAGGGATGCGTGTTACAATGATCTTTACAAGGAATTAGACCCCCTTTATATAGTAGAGAAATCCTAGATTAGGTACAACCCTATAAAAGGTAAAAGATCTCATGATTTGCTGATTTACCGGTTCCTTGTTGATACGTGCTAAGATTCCCGTTGTAATATCCGACCGGTCCCGGATACCTCGGCCTTCTGTTATTTCAGTCTTCTGTTGGTTATACTGACAATGTTTCCTCAAACTCGTTCGGGGTTAGGGTCGATTCATGGATCATGGACTCGATGTTCTCGAGGACGGACATTCTGACCTTGTGTTCTGGTTCGATGGGACTCGGGGTCGATATTCAATTCCTTACTTTCCGAGCTATATGTCATGTAGTGGATAAGTCCGATTTCGACGGTATATAACTTCTACGACTCAAACCCGTGATTTATAAATTACACGAAGATAATTAGCTAAATAAAAATTACAATTAATGATCCATAATATATAAGTGAAACTAGCTGAAAAAGAACGTACAAATATAATAGAGTGAAAAACTTTATGGGGAAAAGAGGAGGTTAAATCCCTACCGACATCAATTTAATTTGGATGTGAAAAATCCTCCTTACCAACCTTAGTGTTTTCGTTTGAAAATATTCTTTACATTTTGATTAATATCAATCAAAATATTTGGTTTTAGATTTTTGGATTGTCCATCAATTTGTGAAATCCTAAATTTACGTACGAACGATTTAGTAGCATGTACTCTACAAAATATGCTAACCATAAACTACTACTTTAGTTATGATTTTTCATTTCTTTAAAAAAAAAAACATAGATTCTATCCACTTGAAATTTAAAAGAAGGAAAAATAAAAGAAAAGATTATATATATCCACAATAAGGTAAAGATGGACAAACCAGATGAGAAGAATTTACCCAATTAAGTGGTTTGGTTCAATAATATTTAAGGTTTGGTTGTTTCATTTTAAATCATTATCTCAAATTTTATTGCTTAGTTTTATTTGGAAATCACATGTCGCACATTGAAGATCATGGGGTGATCTCTTCGTAAATAGAAACAATAAATTCTAACAGGTTGGTTTCAAATTCAATTCCTCTCATTAATTGTGTTCACGCATCAGCAGTTCCTCTCATTAATTCTTTCTTTTCAATAAATGGTGGTATCTTAGATCACTTTCCATGCTCTTGAGTTTTTAAGTTACTATTATTTAATATATTTTACTAATACATAAATTGATAATTCTGTGCATCAACACTTAGGCGAAAAAATATTATCGTCTATTTCCTCTCTATTGTGATTTGAACTGTTATTTTTAGTGTTTTATCTATAGTGTTCGAATCAGCTTGCGTTGACATTAACTATTTCACGGTGACTAGTATAAATACGGGATAACTAAGTCCATCAAGATTTAAACAATAATCTTGATAGAGCCCTAGTGTGCACAGGGTGCTCACCCGAAGGACAGAGGCTGTAACGGTTGCAGATTTTCTGGGTTCACAAAAAAAAAAAATTTAAACAATAAAAAGATATCACTATGTTTTTTTTATTCTATTGTGATTTAGACCCTTGTTATTCGTAATTTTTATCTCATTTTATTATCACAGTCAAGCCCCCTTCATTGATCGGTAGGTAGGGGCAAATGTTGTCTTCCCGCTATGGGTTCAACTGAATTCATAATTTTCGTTATGAAATATAGATTTATATGCAAAAACTTAACTAAAATCTCAACAAGGATTAAATTTGGACCCATAATCTTAACAGTACAATAAAATTAATACTAAAAGTTATAAAAGCTGAATTTATTAAATTTAAATTTTGAATCCGTCCTCATTGCGAGACACGTGCAATTCCTCCCATTAATTCTATTCACGTATTATCACTGCTTCAACAGCAATAGCTGCTGCTGCGGTAAGGTGCCGACGATGAATGCTTTTCAAGACAACACATGTGATGCCTCGTTAGTGGACCACAGTCCACAGTCTTTATTCAATTTAAAGAGAACAGTTTGGCATATATTCATATGAAAGATTTCTCTTTTATTTTTTAGTTTCTTTTCTGATATTCGTATTGGAATCCCGACTAATTTAGACTCACGTTATATATGGTTCATTAAAGGAAGAAATATTTTTATTAAGATTTTTCTCATACCCCAAATTAAAACCTGAAATCTTTAATTAAGCTTGAAAAAGTTCCTATTTATCCTAGGACAATCCTTGATAATGACTGCTTTATTTTTAAAAGTTAGTACTGTAGTTAGTTACTTCACCCACCCTCTCTAGCTCTCTTTTCTCTTCCCTTCACTTTTCTCACAATTATTGGGAATTTGGAAATGACTAGTTTCTCTAGACCTCATAGCTTTCACTTTTTAGCTATAGTTTTGGAGGAGATGTAAGAACACCGTCCAAGGACGTGGTGTAGTGAATGAGGCTATTCCTTTCTTAACCAGAAGTCTCAAGTTCGAGTCCTGGGTATGGAAAAATCTTTGGTAGGGAGCGCTACCCCTCAAATAGGGCTCTACCCGGTGCGAATCCGGATATAGTCGGGTTTCAATACAGGTACCGAATACCGAGCGAGAAACCAAAAAAAAGGAGATCTAACAACATATTGGCCTATATGTTATGGAGTATTTCTTTTTGGGTTATATGAGAATCATGTAAATTGTTTGTGGGACTTTTTAATGATATCTAACTGTCTGCTCATTGAGACAACATAAGGGCTTAGGCTGCATTATAATATCGTTGTAAGGAAATGTTTGAGTTAGAATCATCTCTGGGTGTGACTCCCTAGGAAGTTTTCGTATTGCATCCTCTTTTTCTTTCGCAAAAAAAAAAAAATAAAAAAACTAATCTTATAGAAAGACTATAGAAAATAATATATGTCGTCCCTAGGAAAAAATCATTTTTTTATAAGAAAAAAGAGACGAAAAAGTGAGTATTGAGAAAACAATAGGTAGACTACGCAAAAAATAGCCTAAAGATTCAACTTTCAACCCACCCTTTTTTTTTATAGACGAATAATCATAAATTTTTTTAATAAAGTTTATATTTTATAAATTCAGGTGACATGCTCTGAATCGCCAAAATTTTTATGGAGCCATCAGAAACTACCTAATGATAGTCATTGCTTCGTCACGTTCGTTCCTCATTTTTTTGTGATTTTAGGGCTGTAAATTAAAATAGGAATTCAGGATGATTTTATAATTTTTCGTTTGCTAATGTCCACCCCTTCTTCATGAATTCGAGCAATGGACTTCGAATTGCCTAAAATTTTATGGGCCCATAAGAAACGACCTAATGAACAATAGTCATCGCTTCGCCATGATCGTTCCTCATTTTTGGCTTTTTAGGGCCATAAAACAAGAATTTAAGACGATTCCTAGATTTTCGAGTGCTATAGTCCATGTCATCTGTATAAATTTGGGCGACCCATCACAAATCTCCTAAATTTTGTAGGCCTGCCTAAAATGACCTAATGAACAATAATCATCGCTTCGCCATGACCGTTCCTCATTTTTTGGCGTTTTAGGGGCATAAAACAGGAATTCAAAACGATTTCAAGATTTTCATGTGCTATAGTCCACGTCATATGCATAAATTCTGCTTATCGGCCCCGAATCTCCTAAAATTTTGTTCGCCCATAAAAAACAACCAAATGAATAATAATCATCACTTTGCCATGATCGTTCCTCGTTTTTTGGCTTTTTAGGGCCATAAAACAGGAATTCATGATGATTCCTAGATTTTTGTGTAATATAATCCACATCATCGATCGGATGATTCAGGTCACCCGGATGCATGCAAATGAGCGTGGTCTATAGTACACGAAAACTTGAGAATTGGGCAGAATTCTCGTTATTTATGGGCCGACAAAATTTTAAGTGATTTAGGTCGTTGTCTTGATAAATACAGATGGCATGGGCTATATCATATGAAAATCTTAGAATCAAGCAGATTTTCAGTTTTATTACCATAAAATGCCAAAAAATGAGAAACGATCACGGCGAGACGATGACTAATTATTCCTTAGGCTAGTTTTTATTGGCCGGCAAAATTTTAGGCGATTCGGGTCTGGTGTGGTGTGATGACCCAAAAGACCATCACTTGTTTTAAAAGAAAATTTTACGTTCTGAGGCTTTAAAAATTCCTTTCAGCATCACCTCGTTTTGCGTGCACAGTCCAGGCGCGAAGCCGAAAAGCCATTATGTGAAAATTTGTGAAAAATGATAAAATTTGACTATAAAATAAATTAATTTGACTTCGGTCAATATTTTGGGTAAACGGACCCAGACTCGTGATTTGACGGTCCCGGAGGGTCCGTAGAAAAATATAGGACTTGGGCGTATGCCCGGAATCAAATTCCGAAGGCCCAAGCCCGAGAAATGAATTTTTTAAAAAAAATGCTTTCTGAAATTGTTTATGAGTTTTGGAAATGAATTGTGATTAAAATTTGATGGTATCGGACCCGTATTTTAGTTTCGGCGCTCGGTACAGGTCTTATATGTGATTTAAGATAAGTATGTGGAATTTGGTAAGAAACGGACTTGAATCGGATTGTTTTTGAGAAAATTGGAAATTTGAAGTTCTTGAGAAAATTTCA